TTATCACTGCTTAGAATACTATGAAATATGTTGCGTGCCTTATTCTGTGTAAGAAGCCACATCATCTCACAGAAGGATTTATTTCAAACACTCGACTGACGTTATGAAGTGAGTTTGGAGTAAAAATATGTTATTAAATGTGGTATTTTCACATGCTTTCAGATGGAGCAGCATTTACTTCACAGAGCCGTAGTTCACTGAGAAGCTATGCAAACAGCGGTCATTATCGCGAACGATTTCTTCGATTTTTTTGCGTAACTTGTCAGTGAACTACGGCTATGTGTAGTAAATTCTGCTCCATCTGAAAGCACGTGATGATGATTTACTGCTGATTACAGAACCGGCTTTACTAACAAAATGCACATGACAATCGCATTCGATTAATCGTGCAGCCCTATTTTCAACACCGATAATAGTAGAAACCATTATTAATAATTAAGCACCAAATCAACTTATTACAATGATTTCTGAAGTATCATCTGACACTGAAAATTGAGTAATGGCTGCTGATAGCTTTGCCATCACAGGAATAAATTACATTTAGAAAAAGAAAACAGTTCATGGTCCGAGTGTTTGTTTTATGAGAACTGACCTGTGTATTTTGTAATCTCGGGGGACACACTTCTTCATCATTTTCAGAACATCGTCATCAGCATCACGGCAATGTATGACAAGAGGCTTCCCGAGGGAGACGGCCAACTGCAACTGCCGTTCAAACACCTTGACACACAAAGACACAAATGTTTCAAAAAATAATATATTCTAGCATAATATAAAAACAGTTGGAAGTAATCATCCTGTTTGCCATACCTCTTTCTGCTTCCTTGAGTCTGTGGAATTCTTATATGAGTAATCCAAACCGATCTCTCCGAATGCAATGGTTTTAGGGTGACGCATAGCACCCATGATGCTTTGCTCATGAGCATGGTTATACTCCTTGGCAAAATGCGGGTGGCAACCAAAGGCTCCCCACACTTTCTCCTCTTCCAGTAGCCCTTCCCAGATGGCCTCTCTCTCAGTGATTCGTGGGTTGCAGAAATCTGCGATACAGCCCCTAAACTCCATTGGGAAACTACTTGCATACTTGCTCTGAAACTTTTGGAAACTTCCCCGGAAACCCAACTTCCCATAGAGCATGTCAAGGTGACAGTGCGTGTCAATAAATCCTGCAGAATCTGCTTTTGAGTTCAAATCTGACAGCCAAAGAGGCTCCGAGCCAACAGATATCCTGCGAGTGGCACCGTCCGCAGCAAGGAGCATCTGTGAGGATGCGTAAATATTTGATTCTGAAGTCCTGCGTGTAGTAAGAGGAGAGTAATCCCAGTTACCAGGGGTAGATGGAACGGAGGCAAAGGTTCTGAGCCCGGGGAAAGCATCGACCAGTGTAGAAGTGCTGATGATAGACTGTTGTAATTTGAGTGACCGCCTAACTGTCCTACAACGCGAGTAGTTCTTGGGTGGCTCGAGGTCAGAGGCTGTGTTCTGAGGTGGAAGCTCTGACAAGAGCTCCATATCCCTGGCTGGGATTGTTGGGGAAGTGTCACAACCTTGTGGCTCCAGTTTCCACAGGGCTTGTGGGAATATTGAAGGCTTTAAAGCTGGTGATGAAGAGTAAGGCTTGCATTCCAAAGGTGGAGGAGTGTCACTGAAGTCCACAAGCTTACAATCCCTTTTAAGCTCGGTTGTTTGTCGCTCCTTTGGTTCCAAAGACTCATCCTGTGAGAAAACTTCAACCTGCTCTGAGTCCTCAACATCTGACCAATCCGGCGATTCTGGACGCTTTAGGATCACACTCTGTGCACAGAGACAAAGTCAGTATCAATTCTCTTAAAAGACATTTATAATAGTGCAGAATAGCCATGCTTTATATAGGACTTCATTTATTATATAATCGAACAGTTCAAGTTTTTGGATAGTACGATTTTTTAAATGTTTTGAAAGTCTCTTAAGCTCACCAAGGCTGCATTTATCCGATTATAAATATAGTAAAAACAGTATTGCATGCATATTGTGAAATATTGAAAATACTGAAATGTATATAAGTTTTAATATATTTTACAATGTAATTTATTCCTGTGATGACAAAGCTGAATTTCAAGTGTGCTTAAGAAACATTTCTTATTATTATCAATGTTGAAAACATTGATTTGAAAAATAGATTTTTCCCCAAATTGTCTTTGTCAATTTTGATCAATTTAAAACATTCTTGCTGAACAAACATTTAATTTATTTTAAAAAGTAATAAAAATAATAAATAAATAAATAAATAAAATCAAAAATTGTATCCATTACCGTGGTGTCCAGCTTTATTTCGGTCCCATCATCTTCTGCGTCTATGAACTCCAGAGGGGGAGGCCTATCATCTGTAGTCGTGATCAGTAGTTCATTCTTCTCACTGAATGAGCAGCAGTCAAGCTCAGAGGTACTTTCCTCCTCAATTGCCTTTATAAGCTTGTCTGGGGTTTTCTTTGCAGATAGACTTTTAGGCCCACCAATTGATGACTTTTTGTTTGCATCCCCCATTGCATCATTCAGTGCTTTGAGGAGAATGACTTTCTGCCCTTCTTCAGGACTCCTGCGTTTCTTTCCAGCAGAAGGAGGTGAAGGTCCAACAGAGGATTGTTGTCCTGAAACAGTGTCTTATATGTCACACACAAAACACAAATCCAGTCAAATATATGCAATTTTTAAATACAGATATTTCTACAATTAAAATACACAAACATATAATTATTATTGTTACTTACCTCACCAGGACTCTTTTTTCTTGACAGTGCTCCGTGGCGTCCAATCAGTTTTAACCGTATTTTGGGTGTACTGCTTGGAGTGCTGAGACACATGTTCCCCATGTCGCCCAGTCCAGCTGACCCAGTAGATGTGTTGAGTCCAGGAGAGCTAACCTCACTCATACCACCATCCTGACCATTTCCATCCCAGCATGTTGGCTGTGCCACACCCACACTGTTCTTCATGAGCTTTCTTGGGGATTCCACATTCAGCCATGTAAACTTCACCTTTTCCCTTTTGTGGTTCATCGTACTAGGACCTTGCGAACAAAGGGAAATTTATACATAAAAATACACAATAAAAAATGAGAAACACAAACAGATGCAGCCGTTTCTAAACTCTATCTGAGAAGGATTCACTTGCAGGTTCTTTGAGAAAACAGAAAAGGCAAAACTCAAGGTGGAGATGGACTTCAACAACCAGATGCGCTTACAAAGAACTCTGACGCTCCCCAGGTAGCCAGCGGAATCGGGCCGGTTGCGGCTAAGTGTCGGCTCACTCGGCTGTGTGTCGGCAGCGGCTCGCCAGAAGTGAGCCGGCTCTGGCCCAGTAATGGTTGCCGGATTTGGCTAGGCTTTGGGTCTGTGGATCTGGCCCGATTCTGGTTGAGAATCGGCACATTTAGCCACATTCAGCCTGACTATGGGCCATAAGTGTAAGTCCCAAAAATGTCAAAAATTCAGGTTTCACTCCTTGTGTGAATATTTGGTCCCCACAATGGAGATCTCTCTCTCTCCAACCGTATCTGGCCCGAGTTATTTCTTCCGGCTTGCCGGATTTGGGCCGTTATCGGGCCAGATCTTTTTGGCTACCTGGGTCACTTAAGTTAAATAGGGATTAATATTCATTCAATATTTACGTGTTTAAAAACTCCGTAGTCAGCAGATAGGCATTTCCTGTAGGTTAGCTCAAATTTAGAAACACATCGACGTCTCCTTTATACTTATTTTTATACATTAATAAATAAAAGGCATAAACCTGCATACGATGTAAAACACGTTAGCATGTTCATTTAAAGCGCTATTGGTTAATTACAGATGCTAATAATTAGCAAAATCTCATGTCTGACCTAAACCTGTGACCCACGCGTCAGAGCACATAACGAAGATCACAAGAACGGAAAACAGTCTGAAAGTGAGTAATAGTGTTGATTAAACCCGTTTTAGTTCAAGCAACGGCAAAGTTAATATTACAAATCTTAAGACCTGCACGGATGAAGAACGTTCAGGTGGATCACGTACGTAATGTAATTAGCGATGCGTTCACTCCTGTCAACACTCAACTGGACCCAGACGGCGTTGCACGATGGTGAACGCTGTTTGAGAAAGTACGAAGTATGGAGTGTGCACCTGTTTTTATACAGTCTATGGCAGGGGTGTCCAAACTCGGTCCTGGAGGTCCGGTGTCCTGCAGAGTTTAGCTCCAACTTGCCTCAACACACCTGCCTTCAAGTTTCTAGTATGCCTAGTAAGAGCTTGATTAGCTGGTTCAGGTGTGTTTAATTGGGGTTGGAGCTAAACTCTTCAGGACACCGGCCCTCCAGGACCGAGTTTGGGCACCCCTGGTCTATGGTGTGCACATATCTAGCACATATTTAAGGGGATAAGAAAATAAACATTTCATTTGACTTACAATTGCATTATCGTTTATAATTTTTTTTAGCGGTTGTATATATCTCATTATGTTTTTCCCCCCACTTAAAGTCAATTCGTGCATAGAAGACTTACAAAAAGCTCCCCAGGAAAACAAGTTGACCTTTTGTGACAACATGCCCCATTCAGGCTATTATAGGCTTTTCAGCAAAATGTAGAGTTCAAAAATTGTAAACCACAAAACAAGTCATATAAAAATACAAAAACAGCAAACCATTTTTTTGGCCAACAATATTGTAATGAATAATTTGTTTAAATTTATAACATTTAAAACTCGCCCCAGGCTTAAAGTTATTTTTAAAAAGCCTTGTCCCAAGTACACAGTTTACCATTTTGGTTAAAATCGAATAGTGTTAAATAATTCACCCTTACCTGAATGTAGGAGCTTCTATTGTGTTAACTTGTTTACCCCACAACTATTACAAAAAATAGGGGTTTAGTTTTTAGTTATTCTAATTATGGTCTTGAAGTAGAAACCAAGCAAAAACCATTGTTAGAGAAAACTACTTATATATACACATACATATATAATTACATAAATACACACATTTGAACTACGTTCAAATTAACTTTCCAAATATGAAGCTGATAAAAGAGTAAAAGTATACAGAGAACTGTAACCAAAAATATTGCAAGGCCTACCACACAGACAATCACACAAAATCTGCATTTTCTAAAGTTCTTTCTGTGGATTCAGTGCCTGTCACGGAAACCTAAAAATACCTATGTTTAAAGCGTCCATTTGCTTAAGAAATATTCCTCCTGATCTGAGGTTTATCAACACTGTATTTTACAGTGCCAGACTATATTGTCCATTTATGGTGCTGGTGCACAGGTCTGCTCAGTAAATATGCCCTCATTCACACTCATATTAATGTTCATATTTTCATCTGTTTTGCTGTTCTCTGTTCTCCAGTAACTTCTGTTCCACTCGCTGGCTAATGCGTCGTAGATCGGCGTGAATGCTGGGTCTCTGAGCAAGGTCATCTTGTAGGCAGCGGGCGATCTCCAGCCGACAGATATGTTCTCTGCGAACCAACCTCCTCACAACTTGCAGACAGCGATCTCGCAAGGTCAACACTGGTAAACACAAATATAAAGTGGAAAGTAAATCTTAGATTAAAAAAAAAATTCAGATTCTGTTTGATTAATGATACCATAATTGACCCTTCGCTGGGAGTTTGATTGACATGCAATTTGACCAATCATAATGCCGAATCTGCCATTTTTGTCCAACAAACAAACCAGACAAGAGAGTAGATTAATGACGGTGGACTTGAAAAATGGTGTGTATTAACGTCTTGCAGCAGTTGAAACAAGATACCTTCTGATATTCATTCATGTTTATTTTGTGTTATAACTAGTGAAGAGGAAGAGATGATTGGTTCACGTGCCACTTAAACTGAGGCACTTCAGCAATCTGTCACGTCACATTAAAGAGCCACGAAACGGTATTAATTGTTTGAATTTCTTAAATAATGACAAAATTTGAAAGCTGAGTCTTTGTTTCATACCTAAAGTAACCTGCTCTTTTTCACTGCGTGAGAACATGATGTCTAGTGTGAAATGCCATGGCTTGTCAAACATAACAACAGTTATGAGGGGGGTTCCCAGAAAATGTCATATGCAATGCTTATTAATACAATTATCACAGTGATCTCAATATTAGTGTAAGAATTCTAATTTATAAAATGAATGGTCAATTGGTTATCAGTCTGAATGAAAAATGTATACCAGGCAATGTGATGTTGGCGATTGAGACTTGTCCATTTTCAAGGTGAGGTGGCAAATACATCTCTTTATTATTGACTACCATTGGATCATCAGTTTCTGCATCCCGAAACATCCATGGATGTCCTGACAGAAACAGAAAAACAGAATCAGAAAGATTTGTTAAAATAGATCATTGCACTACTTAACCCATATTCAGTTACATAGACTATATATTTCAGATAGTCCTTTTTTGGCATTAATAGGTAAAAAACAAACAAACATGAAACTAAGATGTAAATGGATTCGAATCACTTACAATGGGGTCAGGTGTTAATTTTTAAGTGGTTTCTCCGGAGACTAAAAATCACTTTTGGGAAAACAGCTCAGCTGTGTCCATGTACGCTTTGTTAGTTCATGCTATCAAACCAAACACTTTGGTGTTCTGAACAGTTTGTTTTGCCTGGTGCAGAACATTTTTGTTGAGCCATTTTGTGCATTGACTGGCATAAAACATGGATAAGGAGTAGCAGGCTGAAAATAGTAGCCCTAAACAAGTCAAACGTCTCAGACAGTAATTTTCCAAATGTATTTAGACCATAATACAACAATAATCGTACGAACCCACATAAGTTTCCATTCTTTTTCCGGTGTACGGCTGAATATCTACGTATGGCTGCGGCTCCCCACGGAAGTTGATCCAGACGGGCTTTACAACTCGCGGACTGCGGTTACAGAACACCACGTGCGCCGGTATCCGGCTAACCAGAGATCGGACCAGCGGCAGCGGTTGCTGCTCCTCCGGAGATTCCTGAGGCATCGTCAAAGACAGGACAAGACCAATTCAAAGATACGAACACTAGCCACGCTTCATACAAATAAATACACAAACTAACGTTAAAGTTCGCTTCTACATAGGTAGAACTCATAAGCCATGGCCCAAAGCATCAGGGAATGGAGGGAACAGAGTGTGTCCGTGACTGTCAACATTTGTCTGTACAGCTTGTCGTCGTTTGTTGTGATTGCGTAATCATGTGAGAGCCAGTGAAGAAGACAGCGCGGCTCGTAGCAACACCTCCCTCTGGTGGTTTGTTCGGGAATGAAAACATGACGCATGAAATATGTCTGTGCTCGAAATGAAACATTGAATTATTACAATACTGTTTACGTCTCTTTAAAAAAAAGTGGCATATGAAATAGTAGGAATTAAGCAAAACAGACGTTTCAAACTGTAGTATTGTGATCAAACTATGGCAATGTTTGGATTAGTAGACTATATTTCTACAGTATAAACAAGATTTTTAATTAAAAAGTATTTTAAACAAACATTTCAGTATCACATTACAATAAAGTCTCACTAGTCAACATTAGTTTATGCATTAGCTAACAATTTGAGCAATAAATTTGTAACAGCATAGTCTTTGCTAATATTAGTTAATAAAAATACAACTGTTCATTGTTAGTTCATGTCTGCTCAGGTCCATTAAATATTAACAGATAATTTTATTTTAATGATGTATTAGTAAATGCAGAAATTAACATTAACGAAGATTAATAAATGCTTTAGAAATATTCTTGTTAGTTCATGTTAGCTAATGTTAACAAATTGACAATTCCAAATAGAAATTTCCTTGAAGAACAGATTAAACACGCTGTGACTTTTCAGAAGCGGTTTATTGATGAGAATTTATCAGTACTGAACAGTATTTAATCTCTTGAACATTACAGATATGCAAGTCAGTGTGTATCATGTGCGAGTGTTTTCTTATTATTACATCTATGTAACTGACTAGTGAAGAATGAACATGTTTGTGTGCTGATTTTCTGTGTAAAGTGTGTATTTTGCACGCCATTTAATGAACATGTGAATAGAATCTTTATATTTTAGGAAGTTTCTCAATGCAGACTGTAGTTTCTCGGCACACCAATTCTGTTCTGGATACACGTTTTTTGGCTCTCAACTCAACATATAAATCATATCATCATTCAAGTAAATGGTATCCAAATAAAACAATTATAAAGAATGAAGCAAAACAGAGAAACTGAGAAACACAAAATACCTTTTGAGAGTTGCACTTGATATTGAGTCTAAATAACATAATAGGTAACTCCCTGATATTTCCTTGATTATTGACTGCTGACAATTTTAGCCAGGAGTTGTGTGCCAAATGTACCCGACACAAGCACATGGGACATAGCATGATGGGAATTATTTAATTCAAGCAGTTTAGATCTTGTTTTGTAGAAGCTTAGACATTCAAGAGCATTTAATTGGTTGAGGTATTCTACATGACTGTTGACTATGTTGCTAAAAGTGGGCATGAAAAGACTTTTTGTCAGACTAAATGAGATCATCACATCACACTTTGATGTTAGAAATGTGTCCCTATTTTAACACAATACTCATAAACATCCAAACAAGATGGCATCTTTCTTAACTCTTATCTAGGCAGCAATAATGAAGAAAAGACTGCTAGACTGTAAATTAAGTGCATTACAACAGACTGTGATATCTTAAAGAGCCCATCTGCTATGATATTGCACGTATCAGGCTGTAATTTACACAGCACAAGGTGTGTGAAGGCAACAACTTGCACTCTGTTGTTCTTTCTACTCCTGTATATTATGCTTCCCTGTCCCCTTTTTCTTTCCTCTCCCTGTTCATGCACACATCTACACATATAAACTCACAAACACACTTTCTCTCTTTCTCTGGGTGAGGTTTTGGGGTGATAGAGGAGACCCCTGGGGGAGCAAATGCTTGTGGGCTGTAGGGTTAAAGGTCACAAGTAATCCTCAGATCACATTACAGGCACAGCAAGCGTGACCCCTCGATACCCTCCTCGCCCTGTGGGATTGTCGGTAACAGAGCAGAACGAGTCAAACCCCAGAACCGAGGTGGACTCAGATCTTTTTTTACTGCTGAGAACTTCCAGCCCATATGAGAGCCACAGGTTCTGCACTGAGCAATTATCCACGCATACCTAGGCAAAGAAATACATTAAATAAATGTAATTATACATGAAAATGGCTAATTATTTGGAGACACATTCTAAGACATAGTGATCAAACAAAATTAAAATGATCAAAAACATGTACAAATACATTGAATCTCACCCTGGAAACCAACTATGCAGTGTGGAAGGTCGTCCAATCAGGTTGAGGTTGTTGGCCTTGTAGACTGTAAGCGTCTCGTGAACATAACCATGTGGATTCACATATGCTGCCATTGGCCCATAAAGAGATAGACTAAAAACAGAGGAGTGCTGAATGAGTAACTGTTTTAATTTCAATCTTAAAAGGAAAGCTATCATATGCTTTCAGAAGACTTGGAATATTAAAGTCGCAATAAAATGGAAGTAACAACAGAGTATTCAAGTAAAACGGATTATTGAAGAAGAAAAAGTGTAGGGTTAAGACTTGGTTCTGTCATTATTTACTCACCCTTAAGTGTTTTTTTTTTTCCTACTGAACACAAAAGACGGTATTTTGAAGAATGTGAATCCCCACTGACTTCCATAGTATTTGTTCCATACTATGGAAGTCAATGAGGACCAACAACTGTTTGGTTACCCACATTCTTCACGACATCTTATTTTGTGTTCAGCAGAAGATAAAAACTCATACAGGTTTGGAACAACTTGAGTTGAGTAAATGTTGACAGAATTTGCATTTTTGGGTGAACTATCCCTTTAATATTTCAAGCATGACTAAATTGTGACTAAATTCTCAATGTTTTTTTAAAAGCGTTACTGTCTGACCTGAATATCTCATTCTTGCTGGTTATCTCTGTATCCTGGCACTGTTTACAGCAGAGAGAGGTGCACTGTAAGGAAACATGAAGTGCATAAATATTTTTTGCATTTTTCATAAACAAACTCCTGGACAAAAAGAAAGACTTATAGACAAAGGCAACCTTACAAATACACACCCTGTCCATGATGTCCAACTCACAGCGCAGTCTCTGGATGGCACTGCTAATCTTCAGTAGTTGAAGTCGCAGAGCATCATCTATTGGTAGACATGCGGCCACCCTGTACGAGAAATCTGCAGGGAGAGAGACACTCTCTTAACTACTTCACTGTGTGTGTGAGCCTAAAAGCATCTGTGTGCCTGTACCCACTGTGTACCTGTGGGATTTGTAGGCAAGGACTCGTCTTTGAGGTTTTCATCCCATTCATGGAGTTGTTTCTTTACTCTGCTCATGAGAGTTTTCTGGCGAGATACACATACACAACCATCAGTGCTAAAATGTTGTCACTGATATTATGGAAATGTTGATGGTTGTACATTTTCAAAAACATGCCAAAAGTACTATTCATTTGTAAAGAGGTAAAATTGTGGGAAAAAATCACCCCTTTAATGCTTTCAATGCAAAATAAACATTTGTAAAATTTATAATGTAAAATGTATAATAACATTTTTAATACAAGATCAAACTCACAGAGTCATATAAGGCATACACCCAGGGAGGCCACGTGGTCATACTTGCACAATGGATCTTCTTCTGTGAAAGAAGGTAAGAGGAACATTACGTATTAAGAAAAATGTGTTACTTATGATGTATAAGGATGACTTATCATTTAAAAAGTTAATATGTTTTGCAATGGCAAAACAATGATAAAGCAGAATAACTTGTCTAATTCAGTCTAATTCAATCTAAGGCAGTGATTCTCAAACTTTTTGACTCAAGTACCACCACTGTCCAACCCAATATTCAAAGTTATAGTTTTATAACCATGAAATATTGTTAACAAATACTGTGAGTGTCGATATAGCTACATTAATTAACCACAATTATTTCTGTGATTCCAGAATTTTTAAAAACTGTATGTTCTTATATAAAAACAAGTTATTGTTTTTAAAATAATAGTTAGTTTAAAACTGAAAAATTATTTCAGTTTTAATCTTGAGTGTGTTTGTTTTAGCATTTTAATTAAGTAAGACTGCTATCAAAATAATAACAATAATTAATAATAATAATTAAAAAATAATTAATAGGGGAGGTCTAATGCTATTTTATGCATGTTGAGTTATTTACTCTGTTAAAGAGTTGGATTCTCATTTTTTACAGTCTATGATTCTCATCTGATTCTCATGCTAAACATGGCCAAAGTTTCAAAAAAGATATGAATGTAGAACGGAGTATTTCTGAGTCAAATATACTCCTTCTGGTTTGTACAAGTTTTGGAGAGTTTTTTTCGAGCTTGGCTCTTCATGATGTAATGAAGGGTGGAACTCCTTGTATGGGCATTTAGCAAGAGCAGCCCATCAACGCACTTCATTCGGCTGCACTGAACGGGACTCGTTCGAGAAGAATGACTCCAAAGAAGTGTGTTTTTGGTTGTAAGGGAAAGATAACCTTGTTCAGCTTAACAAAGAATCCAGCGTTACGTGAACAGTGGATGCAGTTTGTTTTTCCGGGGCAGCAACGGAGTTTTATATTAATAATAATATATTCATTAAAAAAAATTAAAGGGGTCCTATTATGCTTTTTCACTTTTTCAACTTTAGTTAGTCTGTAATGTTGCTGTTTGAGCAT